AGGCTAGGTGGACGGTCTTATACTTTTGGGCATGTGGCTGATTTTATTAGGCCTACCCCTGCACGATCCACACACCCTAGAGATTTGCCATACCTAAGTGATACTTGATCCACAAAAGATGTGTACAAGCCCTAATCTTCTGCATACCAGCAAGCATTAATCAATCAATGATTAGGTAGCGGCTTCTTGTTCGCGCTTACTGCACGCCGTGTTTGGTGTGGCCCTTGCGCGTTTGGTCGTCGTTATTGGCATTTGCTCAGGTTTCCTACTCGCCATTTTTCTTGGCTCATGATCCTGTTGTTCCGTTATATGTCCACATGCAACGGTTTCATGATTACCCTAGCCGCAGACTCTCTGCAGGAAGCAATTGGGGCCAAGTGCATTTGAGCATCAGCTGGACGCTGCCTGCCCTCCACCTGGCAGTCTGTTTTGGGAAGGATTGCATGCTTTTGCGATCGCCTACATATGATATCAACAAGAGTGAAGCAGGAACGACTACGTACAGTAGAAGTCGAATCTGGTTTCCGTCTTTGCGACTAGGAATCATTCTGCGCACAGACATGTGGTGGATCCCTTTGATGACGGGATACATACCTAGACCCACCAAGTACATTCATCGATGACCTCCGCAGTAAAGCCAGAAGCGTCTTTACTGTGTTCTTAGTTTAGACCCATGTTGTGTACTACAGAGACTGCACTTGTCAACGCCGTTTGTGGATATTGGATTATGCAACATGGGTCTTATTCAAGAACACAGTGTAAAAGCAATTTCTGACCCTTTGCCTCAGCCTGCCTGTATGGCACCAGCCTTTCTGCTATGTCTCAATCCTGAATTCTGTTCGCTTCGCTTTTCTCTCAACCTAATATGACCTCCAGATTTGAAGAGTTGGCATTACAGTGATGACGGAGGAGTGTTGCATGCAGTGGCTCCGCAGTTGGAGGAGCTTGTACTTCCATCGACGTAGTTTTTGACGCAAGTTCTCGGGTTCGCACACGTAACGGTTGTTGGAGAGCCACGGACATGGCCGCAGCTGTAGTAATTGGTGGTGACGGTACACATTGTCTATGCGCTTCGTTAGAACAGATAAGCGTATTCAGGGTCGCACTCTCAGTGTTAAGACAGAAATCTAAGGAGACACTCACAGTCTTCATATGTTTTTGGCAAATGTTGTTCGCAAGGTATGTGTTTCGTATGAAGAATAGATACTGGTCAAGGAAGACGTTGCGTTCTGTTCTTGACACAAGGAACTGACTTGCTTTTATACCAGACGCAAGAGCTTTTTTAGACTGAATGCAGTGAATACTCTGAGGTAATTTACGCGGATAAGTCTTATATACCGTACTGTAAAATGGAGCAACGGGACACCCCTTGTCTAGGCCATTCTTACTTGGAAGAATGGTTACATTGCACGTTTAAGTGGGCTACAGACCAACAATCCTTTGATCGCCCAAGCAGCATCAGCGCGTCAGGCTTAACTGGGGTCGGTAGCTGAGCGGGCGTTTCCGGATATTTGCTGTGGAAACATACCATAGCAGCTGTAAAGCATCTTTCACATCGGGTGCGGGCGTACCAGGCCCGTCATTGACTAGAGTGTGGGACTGACAACCCAATAGCGCCTCATTAGCTATGCAATCATTTGTAGATGTAGGCCTCGTTTTCCGCAGCTCCCAAAAAGTGCCATAGAGAGGGAAGCCATGGCGAGTTGAGCGCGCGGTGGAGTACCGGCCCTCCGGCATGGCTCCGCTCTGCATGGTCACACCACATGGGACAGCAAGCGCTGTGGCGTTAGCGACGCCCTCGAAGAACCAATCCGTAATCGCATTGGAAATCAATTTAGCGCTCCTTAGCCTCGCTTGCGGGCGTACAAGGCCCGTCATTGCAAGTCACTCTCGTCAAGACCCGCCTAGAATGGTATGATATCCTGATCCATAAATATATCATGCCCTAAGAGGGCCAACCAGAGTGTCGGTCTGGGGCGCGAGGGGTTAACTGTTCATTTCCTGTGCCGCTTGTGGCCCTTCCAACAGCCAAGCTTGATCTACAGGTGCTGTTCCAATAGCGCCGTGCCAAGCAGATTGGCGGCCGCAATAAACGACCCTTTGATTCTGTCTTCTGTCCCTTTGGAAGAAAGATACACTTATTCGTTGCGGAACTCTGGTTGGTCAACGAACGACAGGGCGCCTTTTCTGACAAAGAGCCTCTTGCAGTGAAGCATAGCTGATTCTTATCTTTCATCACACGGAGAGTGCTTGAGCAGCCGTGCGGATTATCCGACTGGATACCGATGGCTGAAGCGGGTTACGCTAGTCCTGTATGTTCGTCGCATTGCATTTGGTCCTTTGATGGATCTGCTGGCCAATGGGTCCAGCTACACCCTATCGTAACAGAGTACGACTGAAAAAGCCGACAGCTTATGCAGGTAAGTAGGTAGTCACGCAGGTCAGCGTTTTTGTTCTAAGGCAACGCGTCGCGTCGTTTTCTTCGTCCACACAGCCCTCCACAGAGTCCTACTAATGATAGAGGTAATGGCGCAGGGATCAAACTCGTCGAACATGCCCAGCAAGGGTGTCTTAGTGTCAATCACATATGAACCAATGTTTCTTAATCAGTAGTAGACAATGTCACAGGACAAGAACCAGAATGCATTGTACGAATCAAGACAGGGTTGGGTTGTTGGATCTGATAGACTGGACGCCTGAAAACAAAGCCGAAAGTTACACGTACTTCTGATGAGTGCTGCAACAGCAAAAACCACACTCTTTGAACCGGAGCGAAGAATTCACGCCACACTAACCACAAAGGCAGACCTAATGCGCACTTTCCCCTGGAACTCCCTGTGTTTCCGAACAGCTATCGGCTGGTTTGATCATTCGATTTGGTGAACAAATTGAGATATACACCGGAGAGGTTGAGAGGCCGGCTAATGCCCGGGAGGTCCAACGGCTGTGGTGTCTGAATCGCGTCGACAATAACGCTTAGGCGTGGCAGACGTTAGTCACAAGGGTCCCCTAAGATTCAGGCCGAAGACGTGAATTGCTCGCTGAGTGCCGCTTCTGGCTCTGCTGGTGGCTACCAGCCCGCTCGTTGTGCGGAACCTAGAGATGGGGCACGCGAAGGGGTTGCTCAGCGGCACTTGGAAGCCATAGGCGGCTGAGATGTCCTGCACGACAACTTCCGCCGCGGGGGTGACGTGGATTTGGTGTACGCCTCGCCTGTCCAACGTCGTCGGCGTGGTAACCGTTTCGTTGTCGACACGGGCTACCGGCTCTATCAACACCGACGCCAAAGCGTTCTGCCAATGTCGCCATCGCTGGGGCTGTCCTTGCCGACTTCGACGCCTAGCGCTTCGTTTTTGCCCTTATGGCAGGAGGCCATAAACTCAGAGGGGCAGATCGGCAAACATCTGTCAGTCGTGACCGCCAGGTCGCTTAGGTCGACTGACGAAGTACAGACTGGGCAAAGGCGCATGGTCAACGGCGACGCCGGAGCCACGGTCTGAAGTTGGTCATAGGCGGCCTTGTTGAGAATGGCGTCGCGGCCAATTCGTTAGGCAATGATGAGAGCGGGGACCTTGCTGCGACGGAAGACAAGAAGGGTCATGATGTGAGTCATTTGGCGACCTGCAATATCGAAAGCAGTGAACGCTTCCCGTGGGTTGCCCAAGAGGCAGTAGAGGGCGTCGGGGCTTCTGTCGAGAGACACGTCATTGACTCTATCGGCATGATTCAATGGCAAGAGCCTAAAGTTCCCGCGGACTCGTGAATGCATGTGTCTGGCTGTCGCTAACTGTGTCCTTAGGCTTGGGTATCTCGGCCTCAAGCTTCGTTGTCTCATGTCGAGGTTCAGATACGGCAGATACAGGCTCGGGCCCTTGAGTACTGTTTATTCGGGGACGTTGCGAGGAAGGGGTTGAGCGGGTCCTCCATTCGAGACGGGCATTGGTCAAGCCTTCTGAAGCGATGCTTGTCGGACTTTGACGGCCTCCGGTATCGTGAATGTGTAGCCTTTCATCTCCAGAGTCGGTCAGACGGAGCTCAAGTTTCTGTCGGCGTGGACTAGGGATTGATTTGTCGTCGGGGTTGAAAATCCGGGAGCGTTTGCTAGGCTTCGAGGGGGGGCGCGTTTCTAATTGGCGTGGCCTTTCCCTAAACTTATCAAACTTATCTTCGTTCAAGTCAAGTATGTCCTCCAGCTTCTCAACCACAATATCGGGGCGGCCAAGGAATGTTTCGTCGTCGCTACTGGCATCCTCTGAAGGATAGTCTGTAGTTCTGAGTTGAACATCGTAGATAGCAGCGAGATATGCTAACACAGACCGATGCCTATCCGTTCGAGGATCCCTCAAGCAATAAAATTCGTTCGCGTTTCAGGGAAATCGTGAAAGTTCGGGTTCAAGGATGCCTTGTTCACGGCGATAGACAACAACAGGGCGGATGGGGAGAGTCGGATTCCTTAAAGCGTTGTTCCGCATGTAGGCATGGGATTGACGGATCTGGGCTTCAAGGCGCTGGTATTGGGCCTTGACGTTGTCCTTGAATTCTTTAAGCTCCTGTTTGACGAGACCGATATCGTTTTTGAGCTCTTGCTTGACGTGGCCGATTTCTTGCCTGACGAGACCGATGTTGTTTTTGAGCTCCTGCTGCACGTTCTTTATACCACCATCTCCTGTGCTGCCCCTGTAGTTTTTCCCTTGCAAGCCGCTTGATGCCTGCTAGTGTTGCCATCTGACTCAACCGCGCCGGCAGTGTCGTTCCTTCTTTGGCCAGCCGGTCCGCAGCCTCGTTTCCTTCGATGCCCTGGTGTCCCGGAGACCAGTGCGTCCGTATATCAAAAATTCTGGCTGCTTCTTGGATTTCGAGGAACGCCTCTTGTGACGAGTCCGGCGCCTTGCCGCGGATACCTTGTATAACGCTGGTGTTGTCGATACATATGTGGATCGGATGACCGCGAGTGGTGAGCAGAGCCCTTCTGAGGCCGGCTCGCGCCCCTTCGACCTCGGCGTCGAACACTTCTGCTAGTCCGAGTCGGCCGCACCCTTGCGTTATGCGTTTGGAGTCTCGGTAGATGACGAAGCCGTACCCCACGGCTCCGTTCGTCGCCCTGGAGCCGTCCGAGAAGACGATCATATGGCTTTCCGGTACTGTCTTTAGCCAGCGCTCGAAAGCTTTCGCAGCCTCTTCTTTGCATTGGACTACTATCTGATCCTGTGAGCTTGGCAGGTACTGTGATTGGAGGAACGCTGGTCTTCCGCATCTTGGCAGAAGTTCAGCCGTCCGTTGTAGTCTCGTCTGTTGCAGTCCCTGATGGGAGAGCCGCGCGACTAGCGGGTGTCGGCGATCAATCCTCTGCAGTCGGACTGCGGCCCGTAAGCGGACGCCCTCTAAGGCGACTTTGGCCGACGGTAAGCCGGCGTCTCGGAGAAGGCTACTGGTTGGCGTTGTCCTCCAGACAGGTAAAACGGTCCTTGCTGCCGCTGTGATGGCACTGTCGATCTTCTGCACGAGCCCCTTCTGGCCTGTGTTGACAGGTCTTCCTTGGAGAGGCGGATTTGTGTCTGTCTCCGCTTGGCGTCTCGAAGCCGGCTTCGTGATACCTGCGTACCATGTTTCGGCGCCGAAGAGCGCGATCGGCAGTACGCAGGAGACGACGGCTTTTCGCACGGCGGCCGCTGGTAATCCCCTCTTTGTGTTTGTAAGCTGCCTCAGGTGTTGAGCTGCCTTCTTTGCCGCAGCTACTTTTGTGTCGACATGGTGCCGGAAGGACAGTCTCTTGTCGAACCATACACCCAGCCAGCGTACAGGTTTTGTTGAGGCCTTGACCACCAAATCCCCCGCCCTGACCTCTGGCAGCTCCGCTGGCTGGCCGTGCTTCCTAGTAAAGTGGATGACCTCGCACTTGCTCGGGTCGAAGGAGACCTTGTTCTCCGAGCCCCATGTGAGAATGCCGGCTGCGCTTCGGTTGAGTATTGCGACGTTGCTCTCCAGGGAGGGGCTGATGGCCAGAGTGGCGATGTCGTCCGCGTACCCGAATCGCGCGTCCGGGTCGTCTTCAAGTATCTCCGCGATGTAGAGCAGAAAGACGATGGGAGATAGTGGCGACCCCTGAGGCAGCCCGCATGACAGAGGAAAGTATTCCGTCGTGCTTTCTTCCAGTCGGACTCTGGCGATGCGGTTGCAGCAGAAGCTGAAGATGAGTCTAATCAAGCCGTGTGGCCATCCCTGCTGACGCAGTCTAATGACGAGCCGGTTCCGAAGGACGGAGTCGAACGCCCCTTTTACGTCCATAGTCAGGAGCGTCGCCGTGAGCCCTTTTAGGAGGGCCATC